TAACCTATTCTATAATATAGTCTACTATCTGGTCTTTAATATAGTCTACTCCATAAAAATAATATGGTCTATATAAACTTTTAAGGCCTTCTAACAGTATATTCTTAAATATTGTTAAACATTTATATGCAACAAGTGCCATTAGTTGAGCATTATTTTTATATATAACACACCAATCTCATTCTTAAATCATAAACATAAATTATTCCCAACAACCCAGTAATTATTAGGAAAAATTAATATTGGTAACTCTTTCTCTGATTCCTACTGCAGTTGGTTGTTGTTACATTACATTTTACTTCAACTTTCACTTGTACATTTGTATTTGCAGACACGCTGTAAACATGTCAATTAACATTGTTGCAAAAACATTAACAAACAAAATATCACAGAAACCATGCACCCACTCTCTCTCTCTATCACTTCTCAAGCATATAAACAAACTATTAACAATACTCTTACATTGAGTTAATAATAGTTTATAAAGCTAATATTTCATCATATTCCTCGACCACAGAGAGTAAGAGAATAAAAGTGCGCATGTCAGTGATAAAATATTTTATGGAATTTACGTGTGATGTTGGTGTGACGTAGTTGTTGTTACCGGCAGGGAATATAACCCACTTAGTACAACAATGTTGTGACAATAATAGCAACAACAACGCAAAGCTACATAGTTGCCGAACAGTTGTTTTGTAAAATTACTTGACCGAGATTTCCTGCTCTTCTCTGTACAAATCACATTATAATAAACCTCCTAGTATGCTCTCACGTTGTAATACTCTTTTGTATGTACTTTCTAAGGACTTGGGGAAAAACAACTCCACTGAAACTAAAACGATAACAACAAAAACGAAAAAATAAAGTAAAAAAAAAAACCTTGCACAAAGTAAAGAAAATTCCTACGTTGCTACTTTTTGCTAAATCTATAGGAATTACATACAAAGCAAAGAACAGAAAAAATATTTAATATTTGCAAATGAGTTGACATTTTTTTGGGGCTTTTTCCATCACTGAACCCCTCCTCAAATTGCAAAAACCTTAAAAATTGTGTCAATATTTTATTACAAAACTTTAAAGAAATTAACTTTATTACAAAACTTGCTTGATTTCCATTTTTTTTATCTTCTAAAATTGCAAAACATTTCTGCTTAGATTACAATGTGTATACATTTTATTTGCTGACTTTATCAATTTTACATGAACACAAACACACATTTCCATTTACTTGATTGCACACACAAAGTAAGAAAAATTACAATGTTGCAAAAGTATCACAAATTGCACATTTTCTAATTAAAATTTATGTAAAATGTACTCACTATTTTTCTTATAAATAATCTGCACACATTTTTACATTAGAATGATTTATTTTTTTGTTTAATTTGTAACTAAATAATAAATACACTGTATTTTATTGTTGAACCAGAGCAATACTTCCAACACTTTTTTCTACGTTCTTATATAGTTTTTTTGTGATTTTATTTCTTGTTTTGACTTTTTACTTTGTTGTAGCAAATTGTTTGTTGTTGTAATGTGTACAAGCGCGCGAGAAATGTCATTACTTTCTTGGCATTTTTTTGCATTACGTTTTAAGCTGTCATTTTTAGAAATAGGAAGAAAAGAGATTAAACAAGAAAAAAGCTCTTTTTGAAAGTTTAACTGTTTTACGGCATTGCCAGGTGTGTATTATTTACATTACAGCATATTAAGGGAATTTTATTATTTATTTTAATAAAACAAGAAATTTAAAAATACACAGTCCAATGTATACTTTTCTGAGCTGTATCTGGCATTAGAATTCGTTAATGACATAACGATTTTTAAATTATCGTGTCATACGCAGCATTATAATCTTAAGATGACCGATAACGAATTGCGATCATTTTCATACTCGTCGAAGAGCTGTAAAGTGTTGTATTTGACACATTTCCCAAAAAAAAATTTATTAACCCTTTCCGTGGTTTTGTCGAATATATTCGACATTACAATAGACTCTGTTTTTAAGCATTTTTTTTTGTATAATATTTAACTTTAGTTTTAATTTTTTTCTTTTAGATGAAAATTAAGATTTTATTATATTTATAATTGAGATTTTGAAAGATCTTCCGTATTTGAAAAGTATTTAAAAATGAGATTTTAAGAAATTATCACTTATGACTACTTTTTAAAAAGTGCTTTTTAACAACGTTTAAAAAACAGCTTCATTAATGGCCAAAAAATTTGTATTTTAGGAGAACGGACTATGCAGATTTAAATTGTATTGTATTTTACAAAAAAAATATATTCGACATTACAATAGGACTCTGTTTTTAAGCATTTTTTGGGTATAATATTTAACTTTAGTTTAATTTTTTTCTTTAGATGAAAATGAAGACTTTATTATATTTATAATTGAGATTTTGAAAGATCTCCGTATTTGAAAAGTATTTAAAAATGAGATTTTAAGAAATTATCACTTATGACTACTTTTTAAAAAGTGCTTTTTAACAACGTTTAAAAAAAAGCTTCATTTAATGGCCAAAAAATTTGTATTTTAGGAGAACGGACTATGCAGATTTTAATTGTATTGTATTGAAAGAAGTTTAAGAAGACATTTTACAAAAAAAAAAAAAATCATAAAAAATATTTGTGGTACTTTTTGGAGACTGTTTTTCGAATGTCGAATATATTCGACATTTAACTTTGACCTTCTATAACTCATTAGGGAAAACTCAAATTCAAAAATATTATTTTTCCCGGATTCAGCATACTCAAATTATCTTTAATACAAGTTTTCAAGTTTTTTTCTAGACATAAATTATTTTTGACCCTGAAAGGGTTTAAATTTATATTGAAGATTTATGACATGATGTAATAAGTAAGGTGAGAGCGTTTGGGCAACAACCACAACAAACACAATATTTTTTTGTTGTTTTCAGTATGGGTTTTGTCAAAATGAAATTGAAAAATAAAAATAATAAATATTGGAAAGAAAATTTTTTGCGTATTTCACAATATTACCTATAAAACCGTCGTTACATTTAAATTGTATTCGCAGCAGGACAACGTCTTATTGCTGGTTCATCTGAATTTCTTCATTTGGAACCCTTTTATTAGCATTTTCATTCATAATTTTTGGTTTGAAATTTTTTCGTTAGAAAACACAAATTTAATTTTTATGTTAGAATAAAAATAAATAAATTATTTTTGACATAACCCAAGCACTTTTTAAATAAACAAATAAAAACCAGCTGCCTTGACGATTTCACCTTACTTAGTGCATCCTGATTTATGATTTCTAGATTTATATATGAATTCATTCATTTGAAGTTCTGTTTCAAAATCAAAATATTCCTTCATTATTCTTTGATTCCTTCTCCATTTGAATTTATCAAAAATAACTGAATTTATTTTCAAAGCTATTTTTTTAAGTCATTCAATTGTAACAAAAAATATATTTCCAACATGGTAAGATATTCAAATAACAATAAACCATCTAAAGAATTTAAAATTCATCAATTTTTCAATTTTACAGCCTTTAGAAGCGGTAATACGACGCAATGCTGAAAATACGGAACGTATAATGAAAAATGCCTTGGGTTATGTGGTCTGTAATAATAACTATGGTACAATAGCTATATCTTCCTATGACAATACCGTATCGGTGGGCAATTATAAAGTTAATTTGTAAAATGTTGGTATCGGCCGCTAGAAGTGCAGTACGTGATATTGACAGTACAAACGATTTGAAATTTTTACGCATAGCCACCAGAAAATTTGAATATTTAGTAGCACCAGAAAAGGAATTTACTATAGTGGTGGTACAATGAATTGTTAATCTCATATGTATTTTATATAAAAAAACTTTTATTTTATTTTTTTATCTATCTCTTGTTAAAAAAACATTTGGCTAATACAAATAATTAAAATTTTTCAAATAAAAGAGTGGTTAGGCATTTTGAAAACCATCTTTGGCATTTTGTGTTACGACAATAGTAATTTTACCATCCGGAACTATTAAGGTCTCATTTTTAGTAGTTCTTAATCTAAGCATAATTAATTCATTACGTGCATCCATCTTCTGTAAACCCATACAAACTTTGTCGCGCAATATTTCATAGAGACCAGCGTACTGTATGGCTAAGGAACTCTCCATAGTCGTTTAACCGGATTACCCTTATTATTGAGTATCATAATATCGGTTACATCTGGTTTTTGTTCAATTTGACGAAAAACTTCTTCTACATAAGCACGAGTCCGTTTATTCTATAAATAGTTAATAAAGTGTTTAATCGTACTGATGTAGCAAAATAATTGCAATTTACCTGATTCTTTTTTTGATTTGGCATATTAAAAGTATTTTTTTTTTTATTACAACTGAAGTTTTTGTTATTAAACTACTTTGTTATTAACGACAAAAACAACTACATATTTATAGGTTATTGGGTTATTACAATAAACAAATTTATATAGCACTTGCCATGGAAACCATATAGCGTAGTAGTGGAGGTTATGTTATTATATTAAGGTTGTTAATAAATTCATACCAGATTTGAATCAACCGCCACTTAACAGTTTAAAAATCGAAAAAATTAAAAAAAAAAAAAACGGTCAAAAAGTCGACTTTTTAAACTAAAATCAGTCTAAATCGATTCAATTATGTTTCTATTTTTATTGCCAAAAATTAAAAAAACTACGTGGAAGCATTATATTTTTAACTTAAAAAGTCGAAAAAATCAATAGGTATTTGATAACTATATTAACTATCCCATTATAAATGCATTTACAAAATTCTGAGCGGTTGCACCAACAATCAAAATATTAAGAAGAGTTTGTGAAACTGCTCTCTACATAAATATATTTATTTTTCGCTACAAAACAACTTGGCACCACTTTTTCTACCGGCAGAATACAACCCTGGCAACAACAACAAAACACTTTTTGACATTCTAATGTGAAAGCGTTTTTATATTTTTTTTGTGCCGAAAAAACCACAAGTAGTAAAATCGTAAAATTCTTAACAAAAAAGGTGCAAATAATATAAATTGCAATTAATTAAGACACAAAATGTCTACAGAAGATTTCTACTTACGTTATTATGTCGGGCATAAAGGTAAATTTGGCCACGAATTTCTCGAGTTTGAGTTTCGCCCCGATGGCAAACTGCGCTATGCCAACAACTCGAACTACAAAAATGACACCATGATTCGCAAAGAGGCATTTGTTCATCAATCGGTGATGGAAGAGCTCAAACGTATTATTTTAGATTCAGAAATAATGGCTGAAGATGATTCACCTTGGCCACCACCAGATCGTGTAGGAAGACAGGTAATTTTCAACGCACAATTGTTTTTTTCAATTTTATTTTATGTTTTCAAATATGTCGCTTTTTCAGGAACTTGAAATTGTCATTGGCGATGAGCACATATCGTTTACCACCTCTAAGACCGGTTCACTGGTCGATGTAAACCGTTCCAAAGATCCCGAGGGCTTGCGTTGCTTTTACTATTTGGTACAGGATCTTAAATGTTTAGTTTTCTCACTCATCGGCTTGCATTTTAAGATTAAGCCTATATAAACAACAGCGACCGGACAAAGGACACTACGAGGTCTACTCATTTTCTTTTAGTTTAAATTTCATTTAACTACAGTCTACACATTTGTATTTACAATTGAAATAAAAGTAATTTAATATTTTTCACGCTATTTTTTTCTGGCAATTCTTTTTTTTAATAGTTTATTAACAAATTCTTAACATAAATGCAGTTTTACACAACAATTTGTATCAAAAGCCTTCGTTGACAAATATTAACGGCGCCGGCAGCTGACAGTAAAATGTTTGCGGCGGCTTAAAATCGTCTGTAAACCGGCTATTTAGTGTGAAATCGAACCCAACACCTACGGTCTACCAGACTAGAACACCAACCTACCGGAGGTCACCTATTCTAAGCCGGCTAAGAATTCAGTTATTTTTAAATTTTCAACGATTTTAAATAAAATCGGAATCCCAGAAATTAAGTAAAAAGTGGAATTTTGCTCGTCTACCAGATTGGGGAATTTTTGTATTCGTAATACTGTTTTATTTATTTCTCTCGTTATACAACTCATTTTCACGGGATTTATTTTCAAACTCGCAGTTGGCGGCAACATGGCAGCCAGCAATTCCCCGCAGGAAAAAGGGGCGATGAAGAAGCCTTCCTAAAGGCATTATACTCTAGTTCAATGGAACGTATACCAGTTAGGTAGTTTGAAAGGAAGATGTATGAATGTTACATCAAATCCAAAGAAATACACCAAAAGGGCACTTAATTATTTAGGATGAACTCAATAATGTTGTTTTGGTTACCACGACGCTGTAATATACATATGTACATATAAAGGAAGTAGAGATTGGTCGGCAAAACTTTTAAAAGACTGCATAAATCAATCCTGACACAGAGTAATGTTTTGCCAGGTATCCAAAACCTTTTGGCTAAGTTTAAACATTAAGGCAACCAAAGTTCTACTAGGATTGAACAGGAAGAGTATAATGATTCTAGAAGAAGTGTTAGCCGATCACTGTGCAATTGCAGCCTTTCTAAGTAATTGTTCATTAATACAAAAGATCTATGAATGTGGTGTGAAGATGATGAAGAGCTAGAAACAGTTATAGCAACAATGAACCAAAAACAGATCCAAAATGAAGTAGGAAATGTAGCTAGGAATGAAATAGGCAACCATTAGGTTTTATAAGTGGAGCAGAAATGCTATTGAGTTAATAGATTATATAGATACTTCTATTATCAACTTTTTCTGATTAAGAGTAGCTGATCGTAGGCCGAATTTAAGCTAGTGGGCATGAAATCCATTTATGATACGAATTCGGCCTACAGATGGAAGCCAGTTAATCAACTCGGAAACATCTCAGCTCCAACCATGTTGAAATTTTGTTACGATATATCCAATGATTTTCCAGATACCGACTTATTTCCAAAATACAGTTTCTAAACCACTACAGACTGATTTGAAACTTTTATTCCTTTGAGATATCTTGATCGAACAACAAACTTGTGACCCAAAACTAATCACAAAATTTAAAATGTTTATTGAATTGTTTGGAAAACTGTTCTTGGGAGTATTTTTGACGCAAAACAAAGTCAAAATCGACTTTATAGTTATTTTAAACTTTAGATTAAGTGATATCAAAGAAGGAATAAGATATAACAGATGAGGACATTAAGTTTTTATAAAGTTGACTTCGTGCTGTTAATGTCTTAAAAATGGCGATTTTTAAACCTTAATTTAAGATATGATGAAAACTTGATGTGATCGGCGTAGCTCTATCAATTAGAAAAGTACCATTTAGTCTCTGTTAACCCATTTATTTACTTATTTTTAACTGTAAAAAACGCCAAATTTATTTTTGTATAATTTAAACTACATTTATTTCGTGAAATATATATTTTTACATAAGTATGTATGTATGTATAAGTTTAAAATTTAATATGTATGAATATGTATTACTTTTTAACACTTTATATAATATACAAAAAAGAAAACTAATACATAATATAATTATTTTTATTAATTTGTAAATAAATGATAATTAAAATTTAACACTTAAAACTATTTTTTGTTTACTTTTTCTTATTTCATTAAATTTAATTTTTATAAGTTAAAAAAAAAATTAACAAATATTAAGAAATTTGTATAGAAAATTCTTAAGGATTTATAAGTCATTTAAACACTGATCGAGTAAATTTTATTTTAAAATGTATATAAGTTCGTTTGATATGTATAAATACTTTTTTTTAATTGTTTATACCAACAACAAATAATTTAAATGTTAAATATTATGAATGTATTAAGTACAAAATGGGAATTTAAGTTTTTTTGTTTAAGTTAGTTTATCTTAATATTGAATTGAGCCATTGCTATTTTAAGTAAAAACACTATAATAATAATGTGCATATGTATGTAAAATGTCGTCAGTCTTTGGGTAAGGGATTGAATTAAATACGTTAGTTAATATTACATTACTATAATAAAATATTAGTTATTTTAACTTAACTTAATTACCTTTTGAAAAAAGTTTTTGTTTAAACTAATTGTATATACATTTTATATACTTATATTAAAACTAATGATGGTCAATGTGGAATTGGAATTAGGTAGATAGTTTGTAGATAGGTTTTAATAAGGCTAGATGTTGGTGAGAAGGTGCAGGGTGGGTTTTTAAGGGTTCTTGAATATTTACTAAAGAAAACTCTTTAAGAGTTTAATGCGTAAATCTCAAAGTCATAATTGTGGTGGTGCTGGTAAAGGATTGGTGATTGTTGAGCTGTTTGCTGGTGATGCGACGTTGAAGATGTAGCCGAGCCAGCATTTGAGCCACCACTAAGTAGTGGTCTTTCAAAGTATTGTGTTGAGGGATCTAAATTTGTTTGTAGCGTAGGCGTTAATGTCTGTGACACTTGGCCAGGTGAAGCTTGTGCAGAATTTAATAATAAACCTGTACTGCCAACCGCTACATTGGAGGCTGGATTAATACCACTGCCGGCTGGCATAGTGGGTGCAGCATTTATAATAGCTCCTTCCTTGGGGCAGCCAATGGTTAAACGTACGTGTAAACCAGATTCTTTAATTAAATTGACCACATCCCCATGAGACATGCCGGCTATGTCAATACGATTTACCGCTATTATACGATCACCCACTTTAAGTTCGCCACAACGATCGGCTGGACTACCCGGTATAAGTTTGCCTTTAAAAGAATTTAAAAAAAAATGTTTCAAAATGTTAATTTTTTTCTTTTAATTAAATATTTACCAATTGTTGAGCCATAATATGATTAGACGAAGAAATGATAACAAAACCAAATCCTTCATTTTCATGTCTTGTTACTATAACATCATAAGGATAACGTATAGGATTGTTACGCATCATAGGCTGTAAAGGAGAAGGATGCTGCAGCATGCCTACATTGCCTGTTAGACCATTATTTAACATAGACTGTTGTTGGACCATCAATTGCTGTGGCATAGAGTGCTGTTGCAGTTGAGGTTGTGTTATGCCGGGTCGCGTTCGTCGTCTTAGAATCATTGTCACTTGACCACGCAGGCAGCTTCCCCATTAAGGAAAGACGGGGGGGGGAGGAAGAACCGAAAGCAAAAAAGAGGGAACGGGGGGGGACAAGCAACAGACAAAGCAAAAGCAAGCAAGCAAGCAAGCAAGCAAGCGAGCGAGCGAGCGAGCGAGCGAGCGAGCGAGCGAGCGAGAGAGCGAGCGAGCGAGCGAGCGAGCGAGCGAGCGAGCGAGCGAGAGAGAGAGCGAGCGACGAGGAGCGAGCGAGCGAGCGAGCGAGCGAGCGAGCGAGCGAGCGAGAGAGCGAGAGAGCGAGAGCGAGCGAGCGAGCGAGCGAGCGAGCGAGCGAGCGAGCGAGAGCGAGCGAGCGAGCGAGCGAGCGAGCGAGCGAGCGAGCGAGCGAGCGAGCGAGCGAGCGAGCGAGCAGCGAGCGAGCGAGCGAGCGAGCGAGCGAGCGAGCGAGCGAGCGAGCGAGCGAGCGAGCGAGCGAGGAGCGAGCGAGCGAGCGAGCGAGCGAGCGAGCGAGAGCGAGCGAGCGAGCGAGCGAGAGCGAGCGAGCGAGCGAGCGAGCGAGCGAGCGAGCGAGCGAGCGAGCGAGCGAGCGAGCGAGGAGCGAGCGAGCGAGCGAGCGAGGAGCGAGCGAGCGAGCGAGCGAGCGAGCGAGCGAGCGAGCGAGCGAGCGAGCGAGCGAGCGAGCGAGCGAGCGAGCGAGCGAGCGAGCGAGCGAGCGAGAGCGAGCGAGCGAGCGAGCGAGCAGCGAGCGAGAGCGAGCGAGCGAGCGAGCGAGCGAGCGAGCGAGCGAGCGAGCGAGCGAGCGAGCGAGAGAGCGAGCGAGCGAGCGAGCGAGCGAGCGAGCGAGCGAGCGAGCGAGCGAGCGAGCGAGCGAGCGAGCGAGCGAGCGAGCGAGCGAGCGAGCGAGCGAGCGAGCGAGCGAGCAGCGAGCGAGCGAGCGAGCGAGCGAGCGAGCGAAGCGAGCGAGCGAGCGAGCGAGCAGAGAGCGAGCGAGCGAGCGAGCGAGCGAGCGAGCGAGCGAGCGAGCGAGCAGAGGAGCGAGCGAGCGAGCGAGACGAGCGAGCGAGCGAGCGAGCGAGCGAGCGAGCGAGCGAGCGAGCGAGCGAGCTAGCGAGCGAGACGAGCGAGCGAGCGAGCGAGCGATCTAGCGATCGAGAGCTATAGCAGCGATCGATCGAGCTAGCTAGCGATCTATCGAGCATAGCTAGCTATCTATCGATCTATCTAGCGATCTATCTATCTATCTATCTATCTATCTATCTATCTATCTACTATCATCTATCTATCTATCTATCTATCTATCTATCTATATCTATCTATCTATCTATCTATCTCTATCTATCTATCTATCTATCTATCTATCTATCTATCTATCTATCTCTATCTATCTATCTATCTATCTATCTATCTATCTATATATATCTATCTATCTATCTATCTTTACTACTATATCTGTCCACGCTTTACACTTACCACATTAATACCATCAATACTAAGTATTCATCGCCTGTTGATACGATGATCGTTATCCGCTGCTCCCCCTGGTACAATATGACCCAC